TAAATTTGTGTAGCAATTTACCAAATTTAGCGGTAGCTAATTTTTTCAGTCAAACATGAAAATAATTCAAATTAATTTAATTAAGTCTAGATTCATTGTTTAATTGTTTCATTTTGTAATATGACTGACTGAACAAAATATGATGGATTTCCAGGTAAGAAGAGAAAAATTAAAATATATTGAAATTTAAAAAACAACCACGAATCAGTTCTCAGCTAAAGAGCTGTAGCTCCAAAATCCAAAATCAATTTTTATACTACACTTTCTCTTCTAAATATTCACATTCGCCACAAACTTCTGTGAATAAATCATACTTTCTCTCCAATTTTTCCACTCAATCAATGCCACCTGCAAAAATTTCCAGCGCACGGTCCCATTAAATGTGCTCGCATGAATCACTCTCTCAGCTCAAGATTTAAAGCTGCGCCTAGAAGAGAATGAGAGAATGGCGTATATTTCACCAACTTAAGTAAACAAGGACGTTCGTATTGCATAAATCACACGAGAGATTCAAATCCGGAGTCATTAATTTCGGCTCGGCCCCGCAGGTATACGCGCCGAGTTTTATTTGAGTTGAAAATGCAAAGGAAGGAGAAGGCGAACGTGTGAATGGCTTAATTACTCACCAAACACTAATTGCGCCGCGAACCAACGAGCACGCGTCGATTCATTAATTCGCGAGACTTCTTTTGAAAATTTCCGCATCCGCTGGCAATTTTTTTATTTAATTTTTTTCTTTCTCTGGTGGGCGCGCAGTCGAGTTATTACTCAGTCAGTCAGTCTCGGAGGCAAGTGAGTGAAGAGTGGTTTTCCGTCAAATAAATTTCATGGAAAAAATTATTAACGTAGAGAAAAACAAGACATTTTCCGAATTAAAAAATAGTTCAAATATCATGCAACACATTTATTTGGCATTTCTATGAAAATAATGTGAAAAATTGTAACTGCAAACATTAACAAAAATAAATTCGACCAGATTATTTTTAATAAGGAAAATATTTTTTTTCTTTAATTGAATTGATCAATGACTATTCAGTTAATTACTGTACAAAAAAAATTTCTTATTAAATTCACTTTTCCCATTGGTGTACAGAAATAATTTGAAAGGGAAGAGTCCATCCTTATAATTAAGTAATTATTGGCATAGTCAAAACAAGTCTTAACAACAATAAATAGGAACCAATTTTTGCGTTTTTGAAATTTTAACCACCATTGTTGATTTGACTATGCCAATAAGGAGTTTTAAAATACTATATTACATACGTCAAAATTCAACTTGAATTCATCTTAGCTAGCTACTTTAGCTTCCTAAAATAGTTTTTATGTTTTATTAACTCCAAAAAAATTAGGTGAAACATTTAGCAATTCAGCACAGAGGTTTCTTCAATTTCATAATTATTTATTTTACTTCAAAAATTTCAAAGCATGTTTGAAACACAAATCCTTTTTCAAAATGAAGACGTTCATAATTTTTCAAAAGAATTTGCAGCTGGGAGAAACTATTTTATTTGATATATTTAATTTTTAATGCTTTTAGTTTAAAGAGTGAAGAGCCCTGAATAAGTATGAAAAAGAAGAATTATAATGCGATGGAAAAGCCTTTGAGAATTACAGAAATTATAAACGTGTAAATTAAAGTTATTATACAATAAAGAGCTTTTATGGTAAAAAATTCAGCACGACCAATGCTTCAAACATCCTGCGCAGAGAGAACAGCACAAAAACAATAATGTAATTTGGGAATTGACGTACGTATAGTTGAGGGGAAACCAATCTACTACATAGTCGGCGCTTATTTGTTAACAGGACCAGAATTTTCAATATTCTAGGAAGAGAACGTAAGCAAATTTATTGCTGTGCTTGATTGCATCAGACCTTACTTATTTGCAGTTTGTATTTTGGAAACTTCCACGGACAAGCACATTGAGCATGATGAGAGCCACATTTTTTATCATAATTGCTGCAATTTTTGTTTTGGTAACAATTCTACACCAGTCCTTGTCAACAATATTTAAATGATAAGATTTGATTCAAAAATTTATTCTGATAAATAATATTCATGTTTCGAAGATAAGTTTATCTTGGAAAATGCAATTTTTTAACAATTTTTAGTCTGTGATAAACGCGAAGAAGAGGAATGGAATCGCAAAACCATCAGCTAGTATGTTTTTTATAACAAACATTAGAGGTAGTTTAACATAAAAGGGATAGTGGCTGCGAGGTTCAAAAATGTAAAAAGAGTGACGATTATAAGATGCTGCGGCAAAAGAAGATGCTCTGACGTATCCAGGAAGAAATTTATGAAGACGGCGTTGACCAAATTAACGACGGTCACCAAACTACTGAATGTGACGATATATAACGGCTTTTAAAAAAATTGCTTAATTTTGGTAAAAAGGCCACCGGAATATTAAAAGAAGTCAAAACAATGGGGCAGGAAATAACCGAGCAGACACAATTTTCAACAAAAGAAGAAACTGTACAAACAGAACAAATCTCTACATCTTTCAGCGATCCTGCCCAAACTCAAACCGACAGTGAGACAGAAATTCAGCAGACTACACTATTTTCACAGCCTACCATTACAACTGTAATTATAAAAATTTGAATAATTATTTACTGCTATTTATAAAATCAGTATAATAATAATAATAATATACATTCGTTACCATGCAAACGCAGTTAGAATCAAATGAACCATCCAGCATTAATTCTCCAACACAATCTTCGACTGCTAATTCAGCTTCTGTCCGCCCCACGCCAGTTTCCAATCCAAGCGTTGAGGGAAATCGCATCTCATCTGTGGCGCAAACAAATGCATTAACTACAACAACCACCAGTGTAACGACAACAACCGCCACTCTTCCTGTAATAACGAAAAATTATGCATGTGAATCATACAACGTCAATATTGCAGCCCTGCATCTCCAAGTGGAGCTGCCAGAGTTTCGGTCAAATGGTAATCAATGATTGCATTAATTATGCTATATGATAGCAAATTTAGCAATTTTTTACAGGCCAATATCAAGACGCCAAATCGTAAGTCAGTTGTAATTCAAAAGCTAGAACTTTAATTTAAATGTTTTGATGAAGTTTAAATAATTAAAATTTTTGTCTATTATGTAAAAAATTAACACATGTAACACATATATGACGCATATTGTGCCACATCCGCAGCTTCCACCATTGCTGGTGCTACGTTCACTTCCGGCGGTCGCTCTTATTTTGCAGGCTTGACATCGGTATTGAAATATAATAGCACAAAATGAAATGGTTCCAATGAATTCTAGGTAACTGTTTCGACTGCGGCCGCGCATTGCAAGGCCAAACAATTAAGCTTGTTGTCCATCGACAACCCTCGCGAATTCCAGGGCCTCTTGTATTTGTTCAAAAGTGCTTTTCTGTTGAATTAATTTATCGAGCAATGACAAAAATATTTAATTAATTAGATTTAGTAATTGCTAATCCGAGCTTCAGTAATTACTGGACGAGCGGCGCCAACGAAGGCGACCCTTGCGAAGATTCCAAGGTTTACACTTGGTGCTCTTTGAACAACACTTTGCTGCCATCGGAATTTTTGCCAAGTGCGAATAGCTCATTCTGGTCGATCGCGACGGCAACCAACAAAACGACAGACCATTGTTTGCTCTTCAAGTTCAACCGGACAAACACTGAAACCAAAGGTCTGCAGCACGTTGACTGTCAGAAAACCTTTCCGTACATTTGTGAGGTTCACTTTATTAAAATTTAATGAAATAGCCTGATATTTAAAGTAAAATAAAATATTAGCCAGAGTGTCAAAAACCAAACTGCCCATCCAGCTGCGACACTGACGTAAAATATTGAAAGTTATCCTATTAAGGAATAAAAAGGATTTAAACACTTTTTCCAGGCCTCTCTATTTGACGCTAATAAAAAATTAAAAGGTATTTTTAAACTTTTGATGGAAACCTAAGAAAAAATTGTTTTTAAAGATCCTCTCTCGTATGGATATTGGACTCAAAGTTGCGGCAGCAAATATTTGTTTGGAAATTCACCGGTCTGGGAAACAAAACATGCAATATAATTTTTACCATTTCAATTAATATTTAAGATGACTTGGAAGGAAAATTGGAACATGTGCTGCCGCCTAGGGATGGCACCGGTAATATTTGAAACCTACGAAGAACAATTTTGCCTGCAGAATATTGTCAAGAGTAAATAATCTTAAAAAAAAATTAAAATGATGCAAAATTATAATCAAGGCATTGGGAAGTTGAACTTCAACTACTGGACAGCGGGAACGAGGCAGGGTTGCGAAGGTCAGTGGTCATGGTGTGACCCTGAAGGCGAAATTCCACCCCTGAGCGACGATTTGAAGTGGGAAAATGGCCAACCAGACAACAAGGGTGGAAAAGAGGAGTGCGCACATCTCAGATTCGTTCTGAATGACACTGGATCAGTTTTTACAGACAGAAACTGCACGAGTCGGTTCATTTTTTTATGCGAAGTTAGAATTAATTACAAAAGAGTTAAGAAATACTCTAACTAAAATACATTTTTATCAAGGCCAAGCCGAAGGACGTTGAAAAACTAAGTTGTTTGCAACCAACGTGCCCCATGTTTACACCGAGAGATGTAAATATTACCGTTCAAATTTATGGTATTTATTTATAAATTTCAAAATGGTTGAGGATTGTGTTATTATAAAATTATCTAAATTTACAAAAATATAAATTTTTGAGGTGAATTTTTAATTTCTTTAATTCTGCGTAGTCAATTTTTAATTTTTTTCATAATCAATACTAAACTTGCGTTCCTACTGATTTGTATCATGTAGCAAGAAGGGTTATTTTAATTTATTTAATTTACTCATTTTCATCAGCAAAGACTTTTTGACGTCAATGGGGAGCTAAAAGGTTTGGGAATGAAATATTTTATTATGAAAAACAAAAATAATGAAAACTTAATACTTTCAGACTTGTACCAGTACGGCGGGTGGGTGTCGGCCTGTGGTCGAATGTACATGTTTTCAAATGCGAAGGTAGCATACATATTACTATAACTATCTGTTTGAAAAAATGCATCTTTTTTTTTTAATTTACCAACAGGGAAATTTCACGTCTGCGTGGAAATCGTGTAATGCCATGGGACTGTCATTGCTGTCACTTGAGTCGCTAGAGAAGAATAAATGCTTGACAAAACGCATCAGAGGTTTTGGAATTTATGATTTTTACTTTTAATAATTTTCGATGCAAACACAGAATACGCCTTGCTTATCCAAAATAACGCTTATTGGACATCAGGGACAAACGGCGATTGTCACGAAAAGTTCTCCTGGTGCTCGAAAGGCTCAAATTTTGCCCAGAAAAACCTGACTTCTTGGAAGAGCGGAGAGCCCAATTTGGAAAAGGGCGAGTGCGTCTTCGTGGAGATCATCAGGAACGGGACCGATGCTTTATCGGCGATGGCCGTTTCCAATTGCTCCGAGCAAAGAAATTTTGTGTGCGAAGGCAAGCTGAAAGGCACAGTATTGGACATCATGCAAGCCGAGTGCATGGAGATGTGGAAAATCAAGCAAGGTATGCATCTTACATTACAACAATATTTTCTGCCACCTGACAATTTTTGTGCACAGCTGACATCGATTTGCTCTTCCTTGGCTTTAGAAACTATACGCAAAAGCTCAAAGTAACAAATAATATTGCTCGCTTTTTGTATTATTGCTTTTCTAAATCCTTTTAAAATTAATTTGCTATTTATATTTGAAGTGTGAAATTGATGTTTTGCATGAATTCTTCAGGCAAATTTGCACCGGAAAATACGTTGAAAATTTACAAATACTTTTTTTATCACTTTTTCTCGCTAACTGCTCAGTTTTGTAATTCATGATGACATATTTAAGAGAAATTATAAACGATTTTTGCAAATTTTATTCAGATAATTAAGTTAATTTTGCATCTGCTTTAATATTAACCTGTTGTGAGAGAAAAAACGAACCGACACGAATTGTATATTTTTCATAAATAGAATTTTGAACCTGTTCAGTAAAATATCAATTGTAATTTGAAAAATTTGAAATGACTGTTTCAGTGCTTCATGAAATGTATTGGAGAGGATAGAAACCTGGTGAGTTCTTTAATAATATATTTAAATCTTTCATCATAATTGCTTTTCAGTTTTTCAATGGCCAAATTGTTCCGATCCAAATGCTGCAATTGATGGAGATCGCGACACAGGACTCGCCGAGTGAACTGGACCAGGGCTTCAACGGTTATTTGCAGTGCTCTTCGATAAACGGCACTGATGAGTGTGATTTGGCCGCCAAAACTTACGACTGCGGCGTGGAAAAAATTCCAAACGTCACGCAGAAAATGGTCGACGTTGGAAAAGGAAGTCCAGTCGTGGTTAGATATTTTCAACTTAATTTATTCTAAATAAACATTACTGATGTAAATTTATACGCAGCTCATTCCGCCGATTAAGTGCGTACCAGTTTTGAGATCGTGTCAGACGGTATCCACGTACACATGCAATGCCTTTGTTGGACCAATATTATTTTGCTTTTATTAATAATTTTTTGTAAAACAAAAAAATTGTAATCTTTAGGTTCAGCTGAAAAATGAATTGGCCACCACAAATCGCAGTATTAAATTTTAGTTTTTCTTCACTCATTTCCGTAACAAAAATTATGCAGCTTCCATTGGAACTTTAATTTGGACCAAGCTTGCCAATAGACGAATTTTCGTATCAACTTTTACAAACTATGTAAACTAAATTAAAAACTGCCTCCCTCAAATTAAATATGGTCAAATTTCAGACGAGTAATGTGAAGCCTTATGGGTATTGCTGCTCAATTGGAATGAGACCTATCGAATTCCGCAATTCATCCGAATTGAACGATTTTGTCCTTTCTACTGCATCAATTCTATGTAAATTCAAGTATTTTTGAAAACTTAATATGAATTTTAAACTGGCAGCTAGCAACTTTGATTACATCTACATATCCGAAGCTATGGCCTTAGACTATTCAAAAGAAGTGTGGTGTGACACTAAATCTCCACTGGATCCGTCACTGTACCAGAACAACTATGTGACAATGCCACTGATGGGATGCGAGCCCGAAGTCTATATGCTTAAAAGATTGGTCCTTTCAAATGGCACAACTTACGTTTTGTCATTGTCTAGCTATCAATCCAATTCATCAGCTGCTTTCGCCTGCCAATAATTACAGTGATTTCATACAACACGGCTTGGTTGAAATGTGTTGTTACACCTCACGTTGACATATTTTTATATTTTCAAAAAATTACAGTTAAGAAAACAAGTAAAGAGGTGTTTTCTTAATAACTATATGCATGCACTTTCAACAAACCGTTACGCACCCTTTCTTTAATTATGCATGATGTGAGTAGCCATCTAGCTCCTTGTAATAAAAAATATCGCCGGTAAAACTCAATCAAATGCTCCTAATGGAGTTTATTTACAAAAAGCAAAACCACACCCAATAATTTAAGCACCGTTAGGACACATCATAACAAAATAGTTTCAGGATATACAAACAAGACTAAAAACTTTTAATTTTGACACAAAATAAAAAAAAAATATAAATTTTTTCTACTTTTGACATACTAATTAACCTAATTAATATCTGTCATATTAAATATTTATATGTTCATCGCGGCGGCCGTGTCTCTTTTCATGTCAGGCGTTTTAGCAGACCTATGCTAGTTGTGATATACCCTTTCTGCTCATTTTTCCAATTTCAATTTTTTTTATGATATGAGTAGAAAAAATAATAATAAAATTTGTTGATGTTTTTGTTTTCATGTAATTGGGATACAAATATATATTAATATACTGAATATCTTTTTTAATTTTTATAGCCAATAGAATCTATATCTTTTCATGGACTTGACTTACGATTTTTTAAAGTTTTCATTTAAAGCTTCATTTACATTAATAAATAATAATGGATACGCTTGATATCAAGATTTTTGGGAATTCAAGAAAGCTTTTTATTGGTATTTGGTAAAAAAAAAATTAAATGGAAAAATTGCGATTCTTGGACTAAAAGTTTTCTAAAATAGTAGCTAAACCGGCTGTTGCAATGACAAGAAAGGAAAAAGATTTAAATTTTCAAATATTTATAATTAAAATAAAAAATACAATTTGGACAATGTAACGCATGATTTTTTTACTAGCTGTGGAGCCTCCTAGAGAAAACTGCGCCGCAAAGTAGATGCTTCTTCTGATGTCACATTCAGAAAAATTTCGAATTTATCATACTATTTATTCATACCAGGTTTTAGTACCAATTTTATTTGAGATTCTGTTAAGATGTGAGAGAAAAATAGTTCATCATGACTATTGAATTTTAATAACTGTACATTTCCGCTGATAAGAAAGTTCAATTTAAATTATCATTTTTCAATTAAATTCCAAACATTAAGTTGATTAAGATAATTTCAGAAATATTTAGTCTGGCCAAAACATTCAAGTAAATTTTAAATTTGTTTTTCACTCATCGAAAGTTCATTATTGCAAGAGATCTTAGCGAATTACGTGATAATTGTGAAGCAAATATGTAAAACTATATTATTAAAAAACTCTTTTTGTCTTTTAAAATTTTTTTGATCGTAGTCTCTTTTGACAAAATTCACTTCTGATTTTAAATTTTTTACTTAAAACGATTTGATTTTTATATTTACTTCATTGCTAGCTGAAAAATACTATTAAACAATTTGTCCTACAAACAAATTATGTAACTTTAAAGAGTGGAAAGTGAAGTTTAGCGGTTCGTAGCAGCGGAAAATATTTCCAGGAAAGTGCATTAGATGAATTTCATACGAGGACGCGCTAAAACTGCCGATAGAAATACAACATGGGTCGATAATTTTTTCAATGATAACCACCTGTCCATAGGTCACCCCCATGTGGTTAAAAAAAATCCCAAAAATTTTTTCGAATTTTTAGAATTTTTTTTCAAAAAACTCAAAATTTGAGTTTTTAATTTTTCTATGAGAGATAAAAACTTCTAAACAACTTTTCTAGACTAATTTTGCAACGCCCGACAACTTTTCAATGCTGACCAAACGTGTACAAACACGTTTAAGGTCACTTTCAGACAAATTTTGACTTTGACTGAAATTTTCGAAATGAACGCCCCCTTGGATTTTTTTGCAGGTATAGGGAAAAATGTAGCCCATCTAATTTTGAATCGATATGGTGATTTTCAAAAATATATTATTTTTTGTTTTTCTTTAATTAAAAGGCGAACAAGTAAAAACATTAGGTTTTGTGCGTTTCAAGCGCTGAAAATACGCTCATAGTCGGAGTTGGTTTACTTTAATTTTAAAATAATTTTAACAAGAAATAATATACATTTGAAAATTACCATACCGATTTAAAATTAGATGGGCTACAATTTTTCCTATACCACCAAAAAAATCGGAGGGGGCGTTCATTATGAAAATTTCAGTTAAAATCAAAATTTGTCTAAAAATGGCCTTGAACGTGTATGTACACGTTTGGTTACTATTGAAAAATTGTTGGAAAACTAAAAATACGTCTAGAAAAGTTATATTTCAAAGTAAATTCTTAGCGCGAGAATTAATCGGACGATTGAAGCAAATTCCGAGATTTCACTCCTCACTAGGAAAGCCAAAATCTAATGTTTTTACTTGTTCGCCTTTTAATTAAAGAAAAACAAAAAATAATATATTTTTGAAAATCACCATATCGATTCAAAATTAGATGGGCTACATTTTTCCCTATACCTGCAAAAAAATCCAAGGGGGCGTTCATTTCGAAAATTTCAGTCAAAGTCAAAATTTGTCTGAAAGTGACCTTAAACGTGTTTGTACACGTTTGGTCAGCATTGAAAAGTTGTCGGGCGTTGCAAAATTAGTCTAGAAAAGTTGTTTAGAAGTTTTTATCTCTCATAGAAAAATTAAAAACTCAAATTTTGAGTTTTTTGAAAAAAAATTCTAAAAATTCCAAAAAATTTTTGGGATTTTTTTTAACCACATGGGGGTGACCTATGGACAGGTGGTTATCATTGAAAAAATTATCGACCCATGTTGTATTTCGATCGGCAGTTTTAGCGCGTCCTCGTATGAAATTCATCATTATTAATTTTTTTAAAGGCTGTTTCCACTGATATTTTTACACTCTCGTGATTGCAAAAACAAGACAAGTGCTACTCGTTTCAGCGAGTCCTTTCGCGCGGCAAACATTGAGCGAACGAGCGGTGTGAGCACGCTTTTTTAATTATTTACTGCGAATGTGTGTGAAGCGTCAACAGGGCTGCATGCATAAATAAACTGTACACATTCCGCACGCAGTGGGACGATCGTCCTTAAAATTGCACACGGACGTCATCAACACCGCTAGAGTTTCTGCTCAATGGCGACACAACATGTTTATTTTTTCCACTCCATGAATCGCGCGACCCATTTCATTCCCTTACACACCAACAAAAGACACGCCCTTCGTTAGCACAAGAATTATTTTCTGGCCTAGTTTTCGCAATAAAAAGCATCGTCGCTGTATTGCTCAATTTCCATTACAATTCTAATTAAGCTAATTACTCTCGGTTCAAAAGCGTGCCCAGCATTGCAACTATGTTTAAACCAGTGCAAAATTAATGAACTCGTTTTATAGTCGCTCCAGTAATTACGCGCATAATTTGTTCTGGAAAGTTACTACCTCAAAATTTGCATAATAATTATATAATATGTGGATGGTTCTTGGATAATTTTCATCTTTTATTATTATCATTTTTGGGGGTTAAAAAGATGTGAAAATATTTAATACCTCGTTTGATGCTTCATTGCATAGGGATGCTTTTGGCATGCTCTGTAAGCTCATTGGCCACATTTTAATTGTACGCCCCTGTGGCCTAATGGATAAGGCATCGGTCTCCTAAACCGGGGATTGTGGGTTCGAGTCCCACCAGGGGTAAGAGTTCATTTTAATAATAACACAAATCAAAAATAATTGAAACAAATTTGCAACGGAATGGAAAAATTAAAATTATTTTTGCAGTCAAAACATAAATCTAGAAAAATTATTGTTTTGAATTTTCTAAAAAATTGACTGACAGATTAGCTGATCAGTTTATAAATTAAAAATTTCACTAACCTCAAATAATTATGTTTGTGGCCTTAAATCGCTAAATTCACCATTCCTATCATTTAAGAGAAATTTTTTATCATTTACAGCTTGGATTAAAACTAATTGTAAGAAAAAGTATTATATGTATTTCTAGAACAAAGGAGTTCAAAGAGATAACCCATTCTAGTCGTAATCATCAAAGAATCTCAAAGCTCCCAATTCGCAGCACGTTTTCTAACTTTGAATTCAAAGTTTTCCTTCCTCTCCTCAAGCACACCCACACGATTTCCCACTTGATAATTCACTTATTGTGTGTGGCTGCGAATAACAAGATGACAAAACTCGTGGGCGGCAAGCACAAAGGACGAAAGGCCGAAAAGAAGAAAAAAAGAAATCTGCGATCTCTTTGTAATTTGCAGTTGTGAGCTGATATAATTTAACAAAAATAACAAAACCGTAGAATTCAAATACAAAAGCACATCAGTTGGTGGGCAAGCAAACATTGCTGGCATATTATCATACTCTGGCCCCTCGAATTCCAACCGCATTGAATGGCAATGTGTGGTTGGACTGATGAATTCTGCCAGGCACCGCATCCCATTTGGTTTCAGCGATCAAACTACCAATATCAACTAATGTTCTGTATACAGAAATCGGCAAAAATGAACCAATTATTTAGACAATATTAAAATTTAACATTGCAGGCATTGGATTGAAATTTAGTATTTCATAATTAACAGTTATATTTCCTGATGTAAAAATTTTAAAGTTATAACTTTCTTCCAGTTAACATTTTTTTTTTATTATTTCAACAAAAAAGTTACCTTTTATAATTCAAACACATTGCATGAATTAAATTTAATTGAAAATCTCTACTTTTAAGAAATGATCGGTCAAAATTTTTCCGTAATATATTATGCCTCCGAACAATTCAAAATGATAATTCATTTAGACATTAAAAGCAACAGTGAAATAAAAATTTAGTTTAAGCCAGCTAAAAGTTAATCTTCCACTATCCGTGACAACTCAGAATTTATCAGGTTCGGCAAAATTACTTAAGTCATTTTTAAATTCAAAAAACCTAATTTAATAATTAGGGATTTAGTCTTAATTTAAGCACAAAGTTTTAAAAAATTTATAAGAGTTATTCCTTTAACGAAAATTAATTGTATAATAATTTTTAATTTTTAATTCCATGTGAAAACTTTTCCTGTTTTAACTTGACGAAAACGTCATCCCATTTTGAGTGGCAATTGCCGAATTTCTCCCGTGACGTTCTGGTTAGAAACTTTTAAAATTAAACCTAATTTTCAATTCAAACT